AAAAGAAAAAAAAAACAAAACAAAACCCAAAAAATAAAAACCAACCAACCAAACCAAACAAAAAACCAAACCAAACAAAAAAACAATACCCCCCGCCCCCGCCAGTTCTCTGGTTGCTGAATACTTATTTGCTGACCTGAAACTGCAATTTGTAGCATAGGAAAATTTCAGTTTTTTACAGTTTATTTTTCTTCATTTTTAATAATAAATTTTCTATTTATTCACAAAATAATTATTTGTTCCTTACTGTGCTAGGCACTGGTAAGATGCATGAATAAAACAAGCAAAATCCTTTCCCTGTTCCACACATAGCATACAGTTCTACGATCAGGCATGCAATTATGTGAAAATTTATAAGTAAACCTATCATTATCCAAAGACGTAATTACAGATGATAAAATGATGGAGGGACAACATATAGTACATGGGGGTACTCATCCTGATCTGGGGAGTGGCACAGAAAATATTTCTTGGACAATGATATATAGGTGGAGGATTGACACATGGAGGGAGCCAGATAAATAGAGATTGGGAGAGGGCAGGGTGCAGAAATCACAGCCAAATGTGGACATTCAAGTTTTGGGTTTGGAGAGACCATGAGGGCCATGAGGGGGAAGAGAGGATGAGGCAATAGGACAGTGTAACCCTAGCTGTGATGCCATATTTCCCCCCTCCAGGGGAAGCAAAGTTGGTGTACAATTAATAAAAAGTAAGAGACAGATACTGGGGCTCAACCTGAAGGCCAGAAAAGCAAAACAGCTAGCCACTGGCTCTTACCTCGACCTCAGTCTGAAAATGGTAATCCTGCCTCCAGGAATCCTCAGAATGAGACTGCATGTGAGAGCTGTCTCCTCCCATTTTATATTCCTCTCTAGTGCTGGGATTAAACTGTGCACACTACCGCCCGGCTTCTGTGGCAACTAGTGTGGCTACTGGGATTAAAGGTGTGTGTCACCACTGCCTGGTCTGTAAGGCTGACCAGTGTGGCTGCTTTACTCTCTGAACTTCAGGCAAGCTTTATTTATTAAAATACAAAAGAATTATCACTGTAGAAAGCATCTTCAGAATATTTTGTTTTTCTGAGACAGGGTCTCTCTATGCAGACGGGGCTGGCCTCAACCTCACAGCAGTTCACTGCCTCTGCCAGAGTGCTGGGATTAAAGGCTGCACCACCTGGCGTTGGCAGCAGAATTTTAAACTGGAAAAGGAAAGGAATACATTTCTTTTTAAACAGTCTTTCAGGCTGGCTGGTTGTGGAGAATGGAAAACAGGGAAACAAAACTGGACGTAGGGTCAGTTTCTAAGGGATGCTTCCTTGTTTTTGGTAAGTAGGAAAAGGATGGAATAAGGGAATTTAAGAAATACTTAAGGTGTGGGATTGGTCAATCTTGGTGCCTGAAGAACATTCACAAACGTATGTTGTAGGTTTGATTGCATTGTGTCAGCAGAAAAAGACAATAGAAAAACACTTGAGGAGGTGTCCAGATTCTGGTACCACTGCCAGTGCACATTAAATCTTCTTAAATATCCTTTTGGGCCATCTAGTTCATCTTTATTGCCTTTTACACTCTTAGGAGAAACTAAAAAGGAGTGCTCCCCGCTTTTCTGTGTGTGTTCTCACACACCCCTGCATCTTTCTGCAGTAGCAACTTCTACTTGTAGTTCACTCCTTTATACTAAGGGTTTAGCTGACCTTTCTGGCTCCTTAAAGCATGTTTTATTTGCTCACTGTTAGGGTTTTGCATCACAAAAGGATTTCAGTACGAATTCAGCAAAAGAAAGGAGCAGGAAGAGAGACTGCAGGTATATGAACTTTTATTTTGTGTTGCACTTGGTTGTTTTTCTGAGGTCATTAAATATATAAGTAGGAGAAATGTTCATGTTTTAGCTTTGAGCAAATGAGAAAAAGGGAACAAAGAAAAAGAGGATGTTTTAAGAAAACACGTGGTGCTTTCTCATTGCTTTGATCCAATACCTGACAAGCAACTTCATGGATGAGAGTTTTATTTTGTCTTCTGAGAGACTAGAGCCCATCTTGGCAGGCAAGACATAGTGGCAGGTGGACCCACGGTGGCAGGAGCAGGTAGCAGCAGCTCCCTCCCTGCTCCCACAACTCCACAGAGCAGGATACAGAGAAAGGGAACTGCCAGTACTCAGGTGACTTTTCTCCTGTTTCCCTTTCTGTTCAGTTCAGGGAGCTGTAAAGGTAAGTAAACTTTTATCTTACTGCTCCATGTTCAGGAGATACCATCATGAAAATCATGGAATACGGATGTGGGTGACTTCACAGACTGGTGACAAGTATTCCACACCCAGAAGGATCTTGGGCTTCATTTAGTGCTTCTGTGCCTGCCTTCTGGAAGCTCTTAAGTTTTGAGCAGGGAGCCTGCTTTCATTCTGGGTGGGGCTGGTGTGGGCAGCAGGGAGATTTACACTGGGAGGTCTGAGTGCTTAACTGACTCTTCATAACTACTTTCCCCACAGACCCTCCACCTCTTTATTCCTAGAACCAGAGTTTCATTTTTCTATTATTATATTATATTATTCTATTCTCTCTGACCCTTTGAAAGCTGCCAGTTTTCAAGGCATCATTGTAATTTTAGTTAAAATGTTTCTGTGGCTGCCGATATAACTTAGTTTGTAGAGTGTTTACCTAGCAAGCATGAAGATCTCAGGTTTCATCCCCAGCACCCATGCATAGCAGGGCATGTCTGCAATCCCAGTATTCAAAAGATAGAGGCAGGAGGACCAAAGAATCAAGATGAACCTCTGCAGCATAGCACGTTTGAGGCTAGCCTGGGCCATATGAGATCCTCTCAACAAAACAAAACAAAACAAAACATAAAAGCACAAAACCTAAAACTAAATGAAACCACAATCGTTCTGTCCAGTATTGCCATCCTCACATGTTCATGTTGCCTGTTGTTATATCACCATGGTTAAGGGAGTAATAGGGCAGACCAAGTTTGAAGCCTTGTGTGTTCAGAGAAATTTCCTCAGTTTCTCTGAACGTCCATTTCCACATCTGAAGATTATTTGTGAACATTAAATTAGATAATATATGTAAAAGGCCTTATGTAATGCTTGGTACTTTGTTAAAGATTTAATGTACTGTTTTAAAAATGATTTTTACTCAGATATGATGAACTAAGAACACCCAATGTAATTGTCAATTTTTCTCATCTATGTGATCAAACACCCAACAAGAAACAAATGAAATAAGGAGAGATTGATTTTGGCTCACCATTTGGGGGCTACAGTTCATCATGCTAGGGAACACAGTGGCATGTGGTTGCATGGTGGTGGCAGGAGCTGATTGTGGCTGCTTGCTCACAGCTATGTGGATCAGAAAACAGACTGGCAAGAAAGTGAAGCAAGCCTATAAACCTCAAGACTCGCCCCTAGTGACCTTTTTCCTCCAGGATACTTTACCTCTTAAGGGGTTCCACACTCTCCCTAAATAGTCTACTGACTGGGAACTAAGTCTTCAAATACATGGGCCTATGGGGACATTTCCCATTCAAAAGGGAGTGCCTGCTTTAGAAACGTAGACATACTTAGCAGGAATAAGGAGAGCAGTGGTTTGGTTCATTTCAGCAGAAATATATATTTGTGTTTTTGTTTGCCCCCCAAACTGGACAGTACAAAGCAGCTGTACTGAGGTTTGAAAATAGGGTCTCACTTTGTAGTCCCAGCTGATCTGAAACTGGATATATAACTGGATGCTTTGAATTCAGAGATCTGCCTGCTTCTACTTCTAGTGTTGGTGCTAAAGGTGTGTGTCAGCACTCTTGACCTTTCTGCGGTTCTAGTTTGCTTACTTCGTTTTTTTGGGATAGTTTTTTTGTAAGCATTGCAGCTTGGAAGAAAAAGAATCCTGACTGCAGAGAGTCAAGGAATGCCACTAAGTCACCGTTAAGTGTAGCACCTTACAGCCCTGCTCCATGAAAGTTTCCCCAAAGTAAACAACTCTGCTCTGGCAGGGGAAGGTTTCCCCAACAAAAGCATCACAGCTCTGCTCTGCTCTTCTCTGCTCACACTCCGGTCAAAGTTGTCACTTCTCTGTCCCGCTCTATTCTGCGGAAAGAAGGTCTCGCCCAAACCTCACGTAAGACATTTTTTGGGAGGGAAGAATCCAGGAGAGTGACTGTCGCTGCCAGGGTGGAAAAAGACAGCTTCCAACTGAACAGGCACAGGGCTTATATAGGGTTTCGTAGGAGCTGAGTTTTTCCAGGGGAGTGAAGATTTTCAGAGTGGGAACTGGTTGGATTTCAATCCCTGAGTTTGGAGAAACTAAGAGATTGACTGGATTTTGTGGTCACGGATTGGTTGGTTTTCTGCTAAAGGGTCAGGGACAGAGTGTGTTTCTTTCTCTGGTCCTTTTTATCCCATTGGCTCTGATTTCAGAACCACTGTGTATTTCCTTTCACTGGCTGATTTCATACCCGGAGGGTATTTCGTTGGCTGGCCTTTTACCCTACAGTCTTACTCTGTTCCAGGATGTCCTGAAACTTGTGGCTAATGTTGCCGTCAGTCCCCCGAATGCTGAGATTACAGGTGGACTCTGTCACTTGCGATTTTTCCAAAATTCTTGATTAAAATCTCAACCCCATATGGATCCCACAGCCTGATCTAATAATTTACACAATCAACGTGGAGGCAAGCTCATGGGCAGAGCAAGTCTTCTTGTGAATACCCTCTTTAATGTTCGTCACATGGTAGACACTGAAAATACTGTAGGGTATCATCTACTTGGCTGTGTGTCGGTTTCCAAGAACCACACTGGCACAGCACTGGCATGGCAATTTCATTCCCAACCCCCTTATGACTTTGATGCCAGAAGCAGCTAGAGAAGCGCAAGGGAGGCAAGCTCGCTCAGACCTACTTCATAGGCTAACTCTCCGCACGAGGCTGCAGTTGCTATGGAAACGGCGAGAAAAAAACAAACTGGGCTCCCGGTGGACCTGGCAGGCCCTCAGAAGACACTAACGGCGGAGGGAGGACCGGTGCTAGGGACGCGCGGCGGGCTAGGGTTCACAGCGGTGCGGGCCCCAGCGCCAGCAACCCGCCCCGCCCCCAACTGCGCCCCTCCCTCAGCCCCTCCCCCACTTCCTGCGAGTGTCGGTAGGTACCACTGCGAAGGGCCCACCAGAACCTCACCACTGGGCGGCGCTGGCCAGACCAGAGTCCCGGGGTTTCGGACTCGGGCGTCGCCTCTGCTTCTATCTGTGCAGATTATTTAATTTATTGATATTAATTTAGTCTGGCTATAACTGAGGCTGTTTTAAAACTTTCTAGGTAGTCTAGGCTGGCCTCGAACTCGAGGCAATACTCCAGTTCTAGTCGCCCTAATTCTGGGATGATAGATGTGCGCCACTGGGTCCGACTTCTCAGTGCATTTTTAAGTGGCTTATTTTCCTCAAAAGAAAATCCCGGCAACCTTAACCGGGATTTAATGACTTTATTGGGCGGAGGAGGGCGAATGAGCTGGTGGTATTAGAGTGCAAGACACAAGAAAGAAAAAAACTGAAGCGGTTGGGAGAAACAACACAAATGTGATGACAGGCACTGAATCTCGCCATGTTATTAATGTGCGCCTGAGTGCGTGTGCGTGTGTGCGCGCTTGAGTGCGCGCGTCAGCCACTGTCCCTCCTGTCCCAGCTCGCGCAGGGGTTTAAAGCCCGGGCGGCACGGGTTCCCAGACAGCATACCTGGGTGCTGCGGGGCGGGAGAGACAGGTGTGCGAGCCTGCGAGCGCTGATTGGCCATCCGCGCCGCGCCTTACTTGAACTGCTACCTGCCGGGGCTGGCTCCGCACGGCTGGCTCTTCTTCACCTGTGAGTGACTTTTCTTCGTCCCTGCAGGAGGCGGTCCAGGAACTGGTGTTGCAGGCCTGTGGAGTGCCAGCGGGTCGGGCATCCAGCGGTGAAGATGAACGGCCCCAGCGCTAGGTCCAGCCACCTGTCGCAGCCAGTGGTGAAGAGTGTGCTGGTGTACCGCAATGGGGACCCCTTCTTCGCCGGGCGCCGTGTCGTCATTCATGAGAAGAAGGTGTCCAGCTTCGACGTCTTCCTCAAGGAAGTGACGGGCGGTGTGCAGGCACCCTTTGGGGCAGTTAGGAACATCTACACCCCGAGGACGGGCCACCGCATCCGGAAATTGGACCAGATCGAAAGCGGGGGCAACTACGTGGCCGGGGGCCAGGAAGCCTTCAAGAAACTCAAGTGAGTAGAGCTCCCCTGCGCCTTGGGGCGTGGTTGATAGGCTACCTCCGGGAAGTCTAGCCAGGAGTTGGCAGTTGCTGGTAGAATTGAAACTGGAGAAGGAATTTCGCTCCAGTAGCAGTAGGTGAGATTTTAAATGATTGGCTAAACAGTGTAGAAGCAACAACATTATTTCGTTATTCTGATACAGCATCGCTGTAGCTTCATATTGAAACTCACTGTGTCCATCAGGGTGGCCTTGAACTATCCACTCTCCTCCTGCCCCAGCCTCCCAAGTGTGAGGTTACAGGCTTTTTTTTTTTTTTTATTAAAGTCTACCCCTTAAACTTAAAAGGGGGGAAAAAGATTTCTTATGAGTTAATTCCAAGGGCTGGATGCTCTGTTATGATTTCCCTCTTCATTGTTTGAATTCCTTCATTGCAAGCAGAATGCACAGAGCCAGGTGCTGTGCTGTCTTCCTGTATCCTAGGTGTTTGTGCTAGTCACAGAATGCTTGGAAAAGCATTTGTGTCTTTGCAGGTCTCTCGCTAGGACCCACAGGCCACTTTCTGGATAGGGAACTCCCCCAAGGTCATTTTCTGTGAATTAACAACAGAGTTTAAGGTTTGCAGAGTGAACTGAGCTGGACAGACTTGACCCATCTTTGAGGACTTCCCATCTGCACATCGCTAATTTCAATGCAAATCATGAGGAGATAGGAACAGTAAGAAAAGTTCTTAAGTTTATGTGGGAGGTGAGGGTTATCAGGAGTGGACAGGATAGTAAATTCTTACATTCCGTGAGTGTTTTAAGGCTTTCCGGGCATATATTTTGGTGAATCCACCAATTTCCAAGATTTCCAGAGTTGTGAACCATCACTACAAATCCATTTTACAGTATTTTGATCACGCTCCTGAAGAAACGGACACCTCTGAACTTCCTCTTCCTCCAGGCAAACCACAGATCTATTTTCTGTATCTATGGGATCGAATAGTACAACAGGTGGACTTTGTGTCTGTTCTGTTTGCTCTGTACCACTTTCAAGGTCCGTGCACTCTGTAGCATGGAAGAGTGCCACCCTACAGTTGAATAGTTTCCCTGGTATGGAGCTAACGATTCCCCTCCATTCATCAAGCAGTTAGTGGATATTTGGGTTGTTCACTTTGGGGCTATTATGAAGAATGTCTCTGTGAACATTTGTTTGCCACTTTTTGTTTCTTGGATGCATCTACCAAAGAAATTGTGGAGTCGTAGATAATCCTATATTCTATAGCTTTAAAATATTTCCAAAATACTTTAAATTTATCTTGGGTTCCAGGATAGCAAAAAGCTAAAATATTTACTATAAATCCATTTCCCATGATTATTTTCTAATTGTATGGAAGCATTTTCACCAAAATGCTTCCAAAGTTTTCTAGTGGTGCCCTTGCTCATGTGTTTTGTATAAGTTGAGCTCCAGGGGTCCTGCTCTCTGGGAATGGAAACTGTCTTCTTACAAGAGACAAGTGGTATGTCTGAATTTATTTTTTTTTCCTTCTCCGAAACTTCCCTTAAACATGATATGTCTAACTCCAAGTAGACATAGAGCTCAATTAAAACACCGTGTCTAAAAGAAATTTAGCTATCTTTGTTTTGTTTCCTTGAGAAGCTTTCATGTAGTTCAGTCTTGTCTTCACCCCCATATGAATCCAAGGGTGACCCCCACCTTCCTGCCTCAACCTCCCGAAACTCAGAAGTTCAACCAGAGCACGTAGGCTTTGCTGGCTCCTTACAGCAAAGATGTTTGGAGTCATCCAACCAGTGGTGGGAGAGTACTGCATAGCGGGCACAGTCCTTGATGCCCAGAACCACAGACCTGGGAATGGTGCACTGTAACCTGATCTCTTAAGAGGCAGAGGCAGGAAGATCATAAGGTTAGGTCATATTCTGCTACAGAGGAAGTTCAAGGTCAGCCTGAGCCTTATAATCTTTCTGCCTCTATCTCTCCAGTGTCACTAAACCTGGTTTTATGTGCTACTGGACCAGTCTTAGACACACGAGACCCCATGTTAAAAAAATAAAAAGGTAAAACTATGGCTATTAATGCATTTTGTAGATGCCACTGTATTTTATAAATATAAGGCATCTCTATGGCCAATATCTTGTATTATGTCTATATTTTAAATTATATTATTTCCATCGCTATGTGTAGTAGTACATGTAATCCTAGCACTTGCGAGATAGAAACAGGAGGAACAGGAGTTTAAGAGCAGCCTGGGCAGAGTAAGTTCAAAGCCAGACTAGGTAGTGGGAGCTCCCATCTCAAACAACAACAGCAAAAACAGTGAAAACAATCCACTTAGAGACAGAATAATTTCACGAGGATGGAAATCCGGTTCAGATTTTGAACAGCTGGAAGCTGTAGACTATATCATTCATGTCCATCTTTGTTGGTGTGGTACTACTGATTCAGGATGAAAAACTACAGCTTCAAGACAAACAGAACTTGCTTTTCAAACCACTTTTTATGTGTATATAGTGAGTCTGCAATGTTAATTTTTGCTTTTAATTCACACACGAGAACACACGAGTTTGTTATTGAAGTCCACATGGTTAGTTTTCCATGCTGACACTGGTGTTCAGGTAGCAGTCACTATCTGCCTCTGCTGGTAGGGATAGACACTACAGATGTAAGTGCCGGATGTTTGAAGCTTCGCATTGTATGCTTGTACAACCAAAACAACTGAAAGACAAAAGAGGGTCTGAAGAGTTCTGACGACCATTCATGGGTTTTCACTTTGAGTAACGTAATGTAAGAGAAGACAGAAAAATTCTCGTCAAAAAGAAATGATCAGTTTCCTGCTGGAATGTCTTTCGCTTAGACGTTTCTAATGTTTTTGACACTGTCTCTAAGGTTCAGGTAGGGTTTAAATCTTTCCAATACAGCACTTTTAGAGAGTAATTTTTCAAAACTTTTCTTGGGGCCAATAAGATGGATCAGAGGATAAAGGTGCGCTTGTGTTGCAATGACCTAATGACTAAGTTTGACCCCCGAAACCATGTAATAATAAAGGTGGAAGGAGAGCACCCATTCTACAGAACTGTTCTCCGTCCTCCACATGTGAGTTGCCACATGGGCATGACCAGACACACACCTATAAAGTGCACGTGCACATACATGGAAAACTTTTCTCAGACATTTTTGGAATTGTCTCACCTCCATTAACCTAATAGGTCTGAGACATTTAGAATATAAATCAGGAAACATTCTCTGGTGTGCAACAGAATATTTTGCTGTCTTGATAGAAATAAATCCAGGAAGTTCACAAAAGACCCATCTCATTGATGAGATCAGTTGTTCATACTGCCTCACATAATCATTTGCATAAGGAAATGTAGTTGAAGTTCCATATCAATTAATATTCTGTCCAAATAAAAATATCTGAACACCATCAGCCAACGGTGAACCCAGTTCAATAGTCAAAGTTAATTCTAATATGTAAACTTGTAACAATTTCTTGCACTTGTTATTCTTGTCTGATGCGTGTGTATGTGTGTGTGTGTGTGTAGGTGTGTACATGCTGTAGTGGGAGGACTCCTTTGGGAAGTCAGTTCTCTCCTACCATGTAGGTCACAGGGATGGAGTGCAGGCTTAATGGCAGGTGTCTTTACCATCTGAATAAACTCTTTTTTTTTTTTGGACAACTTGTCTGCTATAGTAGTTAGATAGTTGAGTCTCTAATTGTGGTTATAGATTAGAAGCTATATTTATATTTTTATATTAAAATAATTACTTAGCGTCCTTTATTTATAAGACAGCATTTCAAACTGGAACCAGATCCCCTGATGGGGATGGGCGAATCCCCTGAAGTTGACAAAGATAACAATTTTCAAGTTGTATTTAGGCAAGAGGCACTAGTTAGTATCTGTAGTGAAAAGAAATGGGATAACAATAGTCTCAGAAGTCAACTAGTCCCCCATCTGTCTGTAAACTGATTCAAGGCCACCCCTCATGGCTGGGCATTTATTTCAGTGTCACTGGGAAACCTACCCAGTCTCTCCCAGGTTTGACTCTGGTGCCCCAGTCTGTCTTTCCCAGGCTTTCACTATTTCCTTTTACCTAATTTTTGTAATTAATGTGACTCACAGAATTCATTGACCGGATCTGCATTAAATAGCTAGAGAGTGGGTCAGTTGGTAGAGGACGTGCGTGCCTTGGGCTTGAACCTCAGTACCACACAAAGCAGGGATTGTGGCCTATGTCTGTAATCCCGGCACTGGGGAGGTAGAAGCAGGAGGATCAGAAATTCAGGGTTGCTCTTGGTGACATGGTAAACTCAAGCCTAGTTTTCAGTATATAAAACCCTGTCTCTAAAAAAGGGAAAAATAATGAAAGAGGGAGGGTTAGGGTTAGCAGAGGGGTGGAGGGAAGGCGAGGGAGGGAAGGAGAGTAAGTCTAGAGTGAGAATCGACTGTTAAGGGAGACATGCTTCCTGACCAGAGCAGGTCATCCTCGGCTCTAGCTCCCTTGATGCTTCTGCTCTAGGTTGGTGAGGCTGTGTGAACACCTTCCCCACAATACTAGTGCCTACTGATTTCTGTGTCAGGCTTTTGCACGTTTCCTATGACTGCTGTATTTTTTTAATAATGCTTAAACATTTTATATAGCTGACTTCAAACCTGTAAGAACAACCCTTACCTTTTTTTTTTTTTTTAAAACCTTCTAGTTACTTGGACATAGGAGAAATCAAGAAAAGACCAATGGAGGCTGTTAATACTGAGGTAATGCAAATTCTATTTCTAAGGTTCAAATTAATACCATCTTTTACTTGTTGTTTCTTATAGTATGTCTGACATGTGTACCACATTCTAACCATAAAATATGAGTTCTTAAATGTATGTAAGGGGCACTAGATGTTTTAGGGAAGAGCAGTTCCTTCTTTGTTGGACAGAGGCACGTGCTCAGGCACACAGCATTGGCTAAAACATTCTCCCATGCCCTGTTCAGTGTGATAAGATTCTGAGTAATGCTGTTCAAAGCAAAGTAATGCTGAGTAAATCTCTGTTCAAAGTCCACAAGGAATTCTGCCCACCCACTGAGAGATTACCTGTCAGAAACAGCCAGGAACACGCTTTCAGCCCGGGGCTTTCTAACATACAAGCAGTAGCCATGTTGGACTTGCTGTATCTTTAGTTTTGGTTTCTTTGAGGCAGGATCTCTCTACATGGTCCTGACTGTTTTGAAACTCACTATGTAGACTAGGCGTCTGGAAACTTACAGGGATCTGCTTGCCTCTGCCGCTGGAGTGCTGGTATTAAAGGTGTGCACCTCCATGCCTGGCTCAAAAATATGTTTGTTTTGTTTTTATTACTTTTGTCTTTATTGTGCTAAGGTTTAAACCCAAGGCTTTACAGATGCTAAGCAAGTAACTCTGCTACTGAGTTACACTCCCTGTCTGTCTATCTATCTATCTATCTATCTATCTATCTATCTATCTATCTATCTATCTATTATCTATTTATTGATTTACTTATTATGCTGGAGATAGGATCTTCGAAAGTTTAGCCTCAAGTTGTTGTAGCTTAGGCTTTCCTTGAACTTAAATTTCTGTCTGGGCTTCCAGAGTAACTAGGTGTATGTGTCACCATGTCTTTTTGTTTCTTTTTGTTCTGAGGATTGAACCTGGGACCTTGACCATGCTAAGCAAATATTCTGCCACTGGGTTACAGCTTCAGCTATTGTGATCTTTGAAAGCCACCCCTAACTTGTATTAACCTTCTACTTTGCATAGTCTCTCATTCTACTTAAGCATGCTACCAACTAGATCACTGTAGGAAAGTCACATAAGGTAAAAAGTCTGATTGTGCCGTATTTGAAGAATGTGAGATTACATTCATTATTCAAGGAGTATTTACTGAATGGTTTGTGGAAGAGGTGCTATTTCCAGATCTTGCTTAAAATAATACATTGTCTATCTTTTTGGTTTTTCAATGCATATCACATTAATTATGCATGGAAGTGATGGGCCTTAAAATTTAAAGCAGACAACGGTATACATTTTTATGGTTGTGCTTATATTATGGATAAAGAATGAGCTCTTGCTAGTAGTTACACTAAGTGGAAATAACAGTTTAGTGGATTAGTTCTGGACATGAATCTGTACACACTTGCCTGAAATAGGCCACCTTGGATACGATAGGTGCTGGAACATGTGTCTGTGGTAGAGTTTGAGATGTATGAATTTCTCAACAGCTTGAGCTCCAGTCCCCATGGAGAAGGCATTGAATCTGGTAATGTGTAAGAGGTGTGCAACAGGTTTATTGAGAGTGCAACAGATTTATTTCCATGCTGCATGTGATGCTGCATACCTGTGGTCCTAGCACCACAAAAAGATCAGGAGTTCAAAGTAATCCTCACCTACATAGTGAGTTAGAGGATAGCTGGGGATATATGAGACCTTATCTCATAGAACCAGTATCAAAGTCAAAAACCAAAACGAAAATAACAAAGAGAACCAAAATACAACAACTGTCTGTAGCTCCAGTTCTGTGGAATCCAATTCTGCCTTCTGGTTTCTGTAGGAAACACACACACACACCCCACATACATACATGCAGAAAAAACAATCATACATATATAATAAATGTATCTGAAAAAGTAAATATCACTTTAACTGTTGGTTCTGTAGTATTATTGTGTGTGTGTGTCGGGGGGGGGGGTCATATATGCCACGGTACTCACCTGGAGGTCAGAGGACAGCTTGTGGGAGTGGAGTCTGTTCTTTCCTATTGAGCTGGAACTAGGCAGTCAGGCTTTGACAAATGCCTTTACCTGCTGAGCATCTCACTAATTCCTATGGTTTAGTTTCCATGGTTTTGGTGACCCAGCAAGTTCTGAGTTGTATTGGTACACTAGTAATACATTTTCCAGAGTTTTCATGCTGTGTAACGTAGTCCGGTTAGTCAGGAAGCAGCCGCTCTAATGTTTAGATTGACTATCTCAGTATTGCAGTGCATATGTAATTTAATAAAGGCCCTCAAATACACAAATAATAGCACTGGGAGTTTACTTATGACAGAGAAGCTGAAAAGTGCTTGCTATATGAAGTGAAAATGTAAAAGTCACATTATTTTCTGACATTATTTTCTTATCATTATTACTCCCTTGTCCTTTGTATGATAGGTAGGGTCTGGTACCATCTATGGGTTCACATGTTCATAGAAGAAGATCTTGGAATCTACCTGATTTGTATAAGCAGAGGGGGGAGGGATAGGGACTGCTGTGTTGCTTCTGTCTGTGGAAAAGCATTTGCCCTGAGACCCCATCTTTTGTATATGCAAGTCTTGCTGTAGGGAAGTAGTTCTGTCTTTCACATATGATTTATGATCAAACTTCTGGAATTTCATAAGCTCATAAGTTTATAAGACTATGTTCAAATCTTGAAAAAGGACTTGGACACCTCTCACAAAAAGCATGAATCCTCTTTCTTTGATCTAAGGTGGGGATTTCATTTTAGTTCTCAGTGTCCACTGAGAATACACTGGTCACCTTCTGCAGAACCCATTCTGGCCACCGCTGGAGCACACAAACTTGTAAGAGGAAGGCCATTAGTGACAACTTTGGAAGCTGATTTAGAGAACCCAGACTTTCAGAGTTTATAGTTGTTTTAAAGGGAAGCTTCAATAGAGCAGTGACATAAAAATATCTTCTCAAGATGCATCGTTTTGAAGGATAGAAAACTGTTTACTAGAGGAAATTTCCTTCAAACCTGAAGTGATTGCCTTCAATGAGTTTGCAGCGATAGGATTACACACCAAAGTACTGCGGCAGAATGCACCTAGTCACTGTAAGCATGGTCCTTCTAACTATTCCCAGTGGGCTTTGTAGCACAAGGGTCTCTGCACTTCTTTGGGATTATGCAGAATAGGGGAGGAGTCCTAGGCATCATAGCTGGGAACACCTACTTCTGTGCTGGGACTTAGCATTTATATTCTGCTCCCAGATCCTGTAAGACTGGTGCAGTCTTTTTTACATAATGGCTCCTTTTTTACATAGCGATTTAGATAGAGTGGTGCCCATGTCCTGGCTAGATGCATTGGTGCTTGTGCTCCTCACTTTAATTTTCAGTGCTCTATGACTGCTGTCATTGCTGCTCTGTCCCCCCAGGCTCATCTCTGCCTCTCTGAGTGTTTGTGAGTGCATGTGCATGTGGAAGACAGAGCTCAACTTCAGGCGTCTTCCTCAGTTGTTCTCCGTCTTATTGTCTGAGCCTGAACCTGGACCTTACTGGTTTATCTAGACTGGCCGTCTAGTGAGTTTCATGGAGCCTCCCGTCTCCCTATCCTCCCAGAGCCAGAGTTAAGACATGTGCCCACTAGCTAGAAGTGAACATTGGGAAGCATTTTTCTAACTGAGCCATCCTTCTCTCCTTCTCAGCCCAGTTCAGACCTCATTATGGGTTTCCATGTTCAAGTCAACTGGCCCGGTTCTTCTGTTCTTCCTAGACTATGAGTCTGTGAGAGCGCCCTGCCTCACACAGCAGCCCTCACCGCCTCACATTGGCCTCACTCCTCTGATTTAACTGCATGTGATTTCTGCTTCCTTTCTTTGTGTTTTCTGCCTTGAATGCTTTGCTTCCATATGACTGAATATCTACATATACCACAGAGAAGACACACTTAGTTTCTTACTATCATGAAATTGTAGTTATTGGTGGGGGAGCACTCAGTCCATTGTGGGTGGTGCCATCCTTGGGCTGGTGGTCCTGGGTTCTATAAGAAAGTGGGCTGAGCAAGACACGGGGAACAAGCCAGTAGGCAGTACCCCTCCATGGCCTCTGCATCAGCTCCTGCCTCCAGGTTCTGCTCTGTTTGAGTTCTTGATCATAGTATTTCATCACAGCAGTAGTGACCCTGACTGACTAGGACAGTGATTCAGTTTGGAGACAGTTTGCTAGATTATTTGCTTCAGGGTTATTGTGTTGCTGCAAAACTATCTGTGGACCCTTTTGATGGAAGCTTCCATCTGCTCTGACCTAGATGTGAATGCCACTCCTTATCCCTGTATTCCTTGTTCAGTCTGTGGAGAGAGTCTTTCACATAGTGACATTTATAAATAGAATACAAACTTTCTTTAACCATGAAGGGGCCATAGCTCACTCTGTAGACAGAGAGGGACAGAACAGGTGCCCTAGCTCCAAAACACCTGGGATGTCCTTGGAACTGTGTTGAGTGTGGAGTGTAAGCCAAATGCTTCATAGCTTTGTTCTGTAGGAGCTTAGAGTCAGGTAAGAGCCAGAAATAAGGCAGTTTTTGTGTTACTTAGTTTCAGTGTCCCCGTGACCAGATATAGGAGAAGGAGTAACTTAAGGGGATTCATTTCACTCTACTGTTTTAGAGTATTCATCCATCATGGTGTGGAAGGCTTGGGAAAGGGTGTTTCTGTGACCATGGCGGCATGAGGTTGGGACTCTCATCTTCTCGAAGCACATGGGACAGAAAACAGAGCTAAACTATAAAGCTCAAAGCACACCCCTCAAACCCACTTCCCCTAGCTAGATTCCACCTTCTAAAGACCCACAACCTTCCACAACAGTACCAGCATCTGGTGACTGATGGAGGATACAAGCCTGTGGGGACATTTCACTTCTAAACCATGACATTAACTATGGTCTTCAGGGCATATGCACCTGGCTAGAGGCCTGGGGGAGTGCAGGTAGAGGTTCCGTGGGTTGGAAAGTGGTTTAAATATGAGTATTTTATTTTTGGCCTATTTTTCTTAG